CGACCTAGATTACAGTGGCGCTGCATGGAAATTCTACCGTAATTTCAAAAGGCGATCGGTGATCTGCTCTAAACAATATTTATGTACCCATTTCTACAGAATATTACCTGAAATGCAGAGAAAGTTTGAGGAAAATAATCAGAGAGCACAATGCTTTCTAATTCTCTGAGCACACTTTGCTCTCTGATTTGCTCTCTGATCTTTGACTTAGTTTGATTGAGATAATCAGAGGCACCAATCAGAGTGCACAATTCTGAGACAGTATGATACCGCCGATATGCAGCAAAATAAAACTGCCAAAAAGCCCTGTATTTCTAGGACAGCTAGGTTAAGCAGTTTCCACTGAGTTTTCATATTTTCTAGCAAAACATGGAAAGCTGCTGAAGCTTCGTAAATTTAGCAGAAAGTGCAGGGCTCTAATAATTACTGAGTATTTTTGTCTTTCTTTTATTCTCCTACACTTTTTTCTAAGAAACTGTTTGCAACCACTTACGAATGCTTACTCTGTGCTTTGTGTAAAATCGACTAGCAAACTCAATTTCAGATAGATTACTGTTCCCAAAAATAGCGACTATTTTTACTGGCAAATGGCAAACGATTAAAATTTAATTAAAAACTTCAAGAATTTATCCCATTGATTGCTGGTTTAATGTTACATTTTGGTAGCAAAAGAGCGCAAAACGATACATAAATCAAGCCATGGAGAGGCACTAAGCGTGAACTTGCAACTTTCGTTTCAGCAACTCAAGCAATCTTTACTGCTAAATTCTGACTCAATTAATATAAAAAGAGAGTATTATAATAGTTGAAGTAGTCTTTGAATTTGCCAATTGTAGAAAATTTTCTTTCAAAATTGTTTTTCAACATCGTAACAGTGTACATTTTTTTTGAAACTCGTCGAACTGCAGTGACGTTAAGTATGGGTAAACAGAAGAAACACTTCGCAAAAACATCAAAATTTTTATCACTAGAACTTATGATCAGCAATCCCAGTTAACTGTTCACTGAGCTTTATTGAAACACTGGCTGGCTTACCCGACTTCGCCGGGCCCTGTTGAAACATATGGTAAAGTCTTTCCCCTATCCCTGTACACCTTTCCCTGTTCTTACTTCTACATGCCAATTCCCTGTTCCCGCTGTTTTAATAATCAGCATGCTCTATTATCCTCCTATGCCAACTCCCAGCCGCGTAGCTCAAACTTTGCAAAAAAAATCGATAAAATCGACAAAAGTAGCGGGTACTTCTAGAAGCTAATATTGTGGTCGTAATCAGCATGTCTGACTACCCCCCCCCCATCGACTGCCAACTCCTAGCCCCAGAGATCAAAGTGTACAAAAATTGATAAATTCGATAAAATCGATACCGATCGATGATAAAAAATAGCTTATGACACCTGCCCCACTCCGAAGTGTATGTATGCAAAGTTTGGTCCGAATCGGATTGGAAGCAAAATTTCTATTAGGAACATACGTACAAGACACACAGACTGACAAACATACAAACAGACGTTCAGCTTTATATGTGAGATGTAACTCGAAAATATCTCTGCAGCTGTATGCTATCAAACCTATGCCCAAACAGTGTTGCACCTATATTTTCAGAGATGTAACCACAATATGAATTGACATCGAGAAAAACCAAATTGCCTCCACCAATGAGCATATAAATGACTGTAAAATATTACCATAGTTTAGTTCTTTCGTAAACACAAGTTATTTTCGGAGCGCAGAGCGCAAGCTTTCAAAGTTAGATAAGTACTTGAAATTGCTGAAAATTTGTTGTGTGTTGGTCAAAATTGCGATTACTCGCCTTACAATCAGAATACTTTCGGATTCGAAGTAATCAAAGCTTGTACAGTCCTTTACCTTCTCAGATCTGCTTCGATAATAATCTATTACAGCTTCAGACAAATTACGGATAGGAACCAAAAAGTGCATAACTATAATAATTTGTGGTCATCAGTCCACAGGCCACCAAATCGTTCTTGTTCATATACAGCCACAATCATTCCGCTGCAATAGCCAACCATTGGACATTGGATTGTGAGTCAAGGACAAAAACAGTCTTTGCAGTAACAGGTAGATCGACTAAAGCTACGTTAAGTAGTAGCTAACAACGTACACGAGAAGTAGCTAAGCATAGCTGCTTTCATGCGATCAAAAAAATTAAAGAAGAAATTCTGTTAAGTGACGAGACATTTACTTGTATGCCAGCTTGCAGAGCCAACGAGAATAGATAAATTAGATGTAAACTTGGGTTTGTATTTTTTTTGAAGAAAAATAAAAAAATTTCATTTTCGAACCGATCCAAACCAAACTTTGCACACGTACGCTTCGGGCGGGCAGGTATTGTAGGCTACATTTTGTTATCGATCTATATCGATTTATTCGGTTTTTTGCAAAGTTTGGCTACGGGCTGGGTGGCACAGGGGGGTAACTGAGCATGCTGATTACGAACATATTATTGACAGGGCAGGGCGGAGTCGGTTTGCCTGCTAAGTTGCTATATATAAAAAATGACATTCACAAAAGGAAAGAAAACCTGCACGTGCCCATAGTGGTACCTTACTTAATGAAACAAAGCTGCAATACACTGAAGAAAAAGGTTGTAAAATTAAGGGAGCCAAGGCGCAACATCAAATAAAAAAGAATAACGATCGAGTTGCAAAATCATTGTATTGTCATTTGTGCCATGAGCATAACAAAATGATTGCCATCACAACGCAATAAATGTTCTTTGCTTTTGTGACCGACGAGTAAGACAACGTGATCGTTCCGTAATCGAATTCTTCTTTGATCCATCGGAAGCGGCAGCTGGTCAACACTGCTTGAACTCTGCATTTCTTTCGTAAGCATGCTCTCTGGTCATTTTCCCACCACTTGCATGAGAAAAGGCGGAGTTTTAATCGCCAGAGAGCACAAGCGAAGATTTGCAGAGCCAGGCGCAGGCGCGAGCGCCATTCACAAGCCGCCAATCCCGATGAATCAAAGAGTAGACTCGTGCTAATCTGAATTTGTAGCTCGCGCGCTGCCACACATTTTGTTGATACACGCAGCTTGAGCTATGACTCTACCAAAAATCTACACGAGGTACAAACGAATTTGCAACCCACAGGGTTGGAGGAAAGTTCTTGAACAATCTTTAACGTCATTTTATGCTTGGTTTTTCCACATATTGTTGTAATCTGATCATATGTAGCTACATCTTATACTCTTGAGTACAAGCCCTCCAAAAACTGAACTATGAGCTTTATTCATATCGTAGATATCCTTTCTAAAACGAAGAGAGCGCTAGTGGCGAAGATGCACCAGGAGAGCATGGTTAACCAGCAGATTGCGCGGTTTTCTCAAATTTCACAGATCAGCGTCTTTTCCACCTTGCGTCGTTTCCAGGATATGAACAACAACCAGGACCATTGCAAACGTGATAAATTGGCTACTGCGGACACTCACAAAAACCTGAATATCGTTCGCCAGCGCCATCGTCGCAATTCTCGGTGAAAGATTGATTAAGCTGGCTTTAGAGCTGTCCATCTCTGGCAGAACAGCCACCGACATCGTGGAACAGGGCCTTGGAATGAAGCTTTGGAAGCTAAAAATTGAGGCTTCACTTTGGAAAATACGAAGTTTAATTGACTGCGCAGACGCCACCGACTGCTTGAACGTCTCTCCAAGGCGCGCCACCAAACGATACCCTTTTCTGACGTCAAAATTTTCACCGTAAAGCAGGTTTCTAACCACCAAAACATTAAAATCATTACCGAATCGCCCCAAGATGCCAATGGCAAAAGTTGACATGCAGAAGAAAAGCATCATCTGGCTTCTGTGATGGTTTGCGCGGCAATCGCTTCCGACGGCAAGATGCTGCTGATTTTTAGGATTTTAGGGCATCAAGATGGACACTGCTACGCATGTGGATAACATCTTGAAGAAGGAGTTGTTGGCCTGGACCAATGTCCATTTGCCGGAAGCGATTATTGTTCCCAGCAGGATAGCGCACCTGCGCACACAAAGCGGGGTTGTTCAAGCATGACTCTAAAGCAACGTTAAGGACTCATCATTCCTGCGAAATGGTCTCCATATTGGCCAGATCTGATTACCCTCGACTACATGGTGTGGTCGATTCTTTTGGCCAAAGGCTGCGATCATCCGCGCAAGCTGTGGAGTCTCTGCGACGTGACATTCAAAATGCGTGGGAGAAAGTCGACGTGGAGCACCTCGTGCCACCATGGACAGCGTTCTCAAACGTATCCGGACTTGGGTGTATGTCAAGAGGCGCGATTTTTATCGCCAGCTGGACACCAAATAGCACATAATAAGTGTTTTACAACTTTCGAAGTATATGAAACTTAAAAAAAGATATATCAGATAGTTGCATGGGTTGCCTAACCTTTATACTCAGGAAAAAATTTAAAACAGCAATTTTTAAGGTCGTAAATCCAAAGAAATGCATGTGAGAACAAATTCATAGATATTTCAATTTGTTTTACAGCAAAAACCATGAAACTCAGCAAGTGGTAACCTCAGACAGGTAGTAAGCCAAAGCACTTTGTCTGGTAATTTTTAGAGACTCGCATAACACTAAACTGGCGTTTTGAGTTGGTGACAGCCGGAGAAATCGCGCCTCTTGACCGCCTCCCTCCGAACTTGTAGTCGCGTCAAAGGAAGGATCTTCAAGTTGTAAAGTAATTTTGTGTGGCAGACAGTTGAGTAAACATTATCTATTGATTTCATGTAATCATCTTGCCTGGCTTCATCATTACGATCAAAATTCCGTATTCAAGGACCTTTCCTTGATTCTGTACATTAATCCCATTTACTGATGTGGTAGGATAACTACCAAATACTCGCAAAGTCGAGCTCTTTTTCATGGTGCAACTGCACTTTTTTAACTACAACTTTATTGTAGAATTGCAGATTCTAAAAACCTATCGCAGCATTTTTTATACGTTATCTGCACCATAGTGCTTGATCAGCAATATACATGCTTACATTTTCAGGATGCCCTTGTAGTCGAAGATGCGTTCTTTGCTCGTCATCGTTTATGCGAGCTCAACAAAAGGTTTGCTGTATTTTTCTTCAAAATATTATGTTGTCCCGAAAGTTTTGTCCTTTTTTTCAAGCCGCTATAAAACCACCAAAATAAAGACTTAAAGGCAGTGTCTCACCAAAGTTGAGGTCGCGCGGATCTTTACATATTCTATTATAGGGACCTCTAGATAGGTCATTGCAACAAGTCCCACTCAATTTGATCCCCTTCACGCTGAGAAAAATTCGCTCAAAGTGGTACGCATAGAACCAGTTGGTACGCGCGGACGACTCCTTCGGTCTCTCCCCTTACGCGTTTGAACATGTCCCTCCACTTGCCATTCATCTCCCCTCTGTTGCTGCCACTGTGGCTGAGGCTGGAGTTGGAAGGTACAACTCGTCCACGTTGCTTCCGCGGGGCCTCCAGAAAACGGGGTTTTTGGGAACTTCGTGCGATTTTAAGTCCACACAATACTAGACAGGATCCGACAGGCTTGCAAAATGTAAAAATCTCGTCAACTAAATTTTGGTGAGACACTGCCTTTAAATGAGTTTTAACATGCATTCGATGCAGCTTTTTCTTCTCTTTCTCAGGAATACATTGTCGAACCACAAGCTTGTATGCTTCTTTTGATAATTGCCAAAATTCTCCACCCGTCAATTTTACATGCTCAAAGTTAGGCTGATTTTCAAAATTTCCATATCAAAGTTTCGGAAAGGCTTAAGTATGGATCAAATAGATTAATTCTCAGACTACAAGGCAATACTTTTAGACTTTCCAATCTGCTGTTTTTAGCTTCAAATTATTTCTTCGAAGGTCTCGATTTTTGGCAAAATCATGAAACACGCAACTGCAGCAAATGTACGAGAGCTTTTGCAGTTTCTGCGAATTAAAACAGGATTCTTATTAAACTAATTAATAAACTATTTATGCAACATAGCCAATTTAATTTGCTTTTAAAAAAGCTTTTTGGAATTTTCGGTACTCTAATGCGGTAAACGTAATCAAAAAGCCGCGGTTTTCATCAAATAAATAATAACGGACTCAATTAAACATGGCCCATGTAATTTGAAATGGGTAAAATGTAGCCAAAGATTGCTTTACATAATATTTAGCAGCGCTCCTCAAAAACATCAGAATAAAATTTTTTAAAATTTAGGACAAATTTGGCATTACTAATTGAGCTGCTCAAAAACCCACAGCGATAACATGGCAAAGACCGGGTATATCAGAGAACAAATATAGCGTAAGCAAGAAGAAAAAAATCTGAATCAAATAGTACTTCAATTTTCCATGGATTGGTGTTCTGGAGGTTTTTGTGAGCGATGGAAAAAACGGACAAAACTTTCGGGACGACCTAATATTAGGTTGTCTCATAAGTTTTTCCAATTTTGATCTTTTACCGCGATAAGTCACACACCTCTCAATTCTGATTAGAATACAGGATACCATTCGATAGAGCAAAGCAAGCTGTAAAGATGCCGTATAAGTGTTTGCGCCAGCTTCACCACAACAAGAATTAGAAGCCGAAATCTGAAAAACTTTTGATGCCCGAAAAATCGAAAATTTTTTATATCTTCGTTTAAAGAAGAGCTATTAAATCCTAAACTTGCTCACGCCTATGCACTCCACATAAAACATTCATATGCGCCGTTGCCGTGTTTATTTTTGTGCTTAGAATCAAGAAAACCGAAATTTCCAAGCTTTCAAAAAAGCAATGCTGCGCTGTTCTCACACAAATAAATATATACTACAAGCCTTCTGAAATACATCGGTAAATTTTTAGCTTCCTGGAAGGCCCAGTTCTTTAGAAATATTGAATTTAACGCAGAATACACTAGCAAAAAAGCTAAATTCGGTGTTTTTCAGAACTAGCTTTTCCAGGAAGCCGAAAATTTAACGGTGTATTTATGAAAGCCTGTAGTATACATTTATTTATGTGAGAACAGCGCAGCATCGCTTTTTTGGAAGCTTGGAAATTTCGATTTTCTTGGTTCTAAGCACAAAAACAAACACGGCAACGGCGTATATGAATGTCTTATTTGGGGTGTATATGCGTGAGCAAGTTTAGGATCTTCTTTGTGCGAAAATATAAAAACTTTTTTGATTTTTCGGGCATCCGAAAGTTCTCAGATTTCGGCTTCTAATTCGTGATGTGGTGAAGCTGATGCAAATTTTACACGTCATCTTGTACAGCTTGCCTTGCTCTGTCGAATGGTATCCTGCACTCTAATCAGAGTTGAGAAATGTGTGACTTATTGCGGTAAAAAGTCAAAATTGAAAAAACTTACGGACAACCCAATAGTTTGTCTTCCTCACAAACTGTAAGAATACAGAAGTTGTTAGTTTAGATGTAAGAAATGTGAACTAGTTGACTACATGCCAGTGCTCGTTGATAAGAAGGGTCAATACCTTGCCTACAATCCCGACACCAACCTTATGTATCTTGATTACGAACAACATTTCAATAGATTTGGAAGACAGCGTCTTCAAATAGTTTTCAATAATCTGGCCAAGGATTTCGAAGCGACGGTAAACAAGCAATGAGAGTCCGCTGGCAGCACTCTTCGCGTTATTTGATCTTACAAGATTTGTTGTATTAGAATGATCGGTAAAAAATGGGCACCTAGAGAATGACTGTAGATTTCTCAAAGTAGAAAAGTGTTTAAACTTCCCAATTTTGATAGATGTTAGAATATGTTATTCTCTTTCAGATAATACCTATATAAGGTCATTTACATAATTAATAATTTTTATACTTGCTGAAATGCAAAGTTAGTCTTTTCGGTAAATTATAAGCTATGAGCAGTATCTGCGCAGTGAAACAAGTGAGACCGCCCAAAGTACCACTGCTGGAGTGGGTGGTGGGAAAGTCACCAAAGTCGCGACGTTTGTGTACGTAGCCACCATCGCCACTACATTTTGAAGGAATTTTTCCACCTTTTACGGGGCACTTTTGCAGCATAACTTAGGGTTTTGCTTAATTAGGGGCCATTCTGCTTGGCAGCATCGAAATCTCACCATCCTCTATCTTTTTGAACGGTGTTTTCAGCCCCTATACTACGTCTCGATTTCTTGCGTTATGTCGGAAAAGAAAACTGTGATAAAAGAGACGATATGATATACAAAACTATAATCGTCTAATACCACTCTTCAACCAAATACCACAAAGATTATTGCCACACACGGGTTTGTTTATGCAAAAGTTTGAGTAGTTAAACCTTTACTACACTGAAAGCAAACGAAAAATGACGATCAAGGTGAATACAACAAAAAACGACATTCAAAAATAACATTTAGCCAAATAATTGTGTCTACAGAAAGTAGTATGAAGATAAATGTTGGCGAAAGTGGATCTTGCTCATTTGCAAATGCATGTAACATTTGATTCAACTGGCTTGGCACCATTAGGGCGGGGTTTTGTGATCTAATTGAGGCCGCTCGCGCCCGCAACGCACCTGCGTCTCTCTCGCGCGAGTGCTCTCTGATCATGACCTAGCCTTGATTAGGTCACGAAGCCCCGCCTTTGCTGATGCCAAGCCAGTTGAATCAAATGGTAAGTCATGAGCCTAGTTATCATCAAAATAGTACATCAAATTGCGTTTCTTGCTAATAAAAACTGATGAACTGCTATAAAGCCTAATGATGCAAGGTTGAAATGAAGACTGATAGTATTTTGCGTTTCGATACTACACAACGCAAATCAACAATATCTTGTAAAGGAAAAGTGAAGCCACCGACGCCAAGCCGGCCAAGCGACCAATTCGACTCTCAACTTGCCGGTTAGATTCCTCCTCTGGAACGCATTCCACCATCTAATGCAACTGGCGTTTTACTAATTTGCTCTCACAATGGTTTATGCGACAAATTAAAGGACATGAATTTTGAAGCGCAGACCCTTTCCTTTCAGGCAGACAAAAAAGAGTGTTTGTAGGTTCAAGGATGAGCGAGTTAGAGGGCCAAATATAATTTTTTTCCACTTTACAAACGATGGATTTTACGCAACTGCAATTTCTTTTTTTCGCTGTGAATGGATGTCTAGTCATGCTAAAAATTCCCAAAAGCTCCATAGTATTTCCCTTGATCCAATAAGGTGCCACAGCCCTTCAAGGTTTGCTTTCGAATCTCGAGTTGCGAATCTCGAGTTTTCGTTGCCATGGCGAGCGCCTTTGAAAAACCTTCGAGTTTGACCATGTTTTACTAAGAACCGAAGTCGGGAACAACCACAACGGGACAAAAGAACATGGAGAAGACGATTACCACCAAAACATGGAGTGAAAAAAACTAAAAAATGAATTTTTGCAGTTAGTCAAACATCATGTGGGCCACATATAAAAAAACACTGTTCAGCCTTCCCACTCGAACATTCTTGAAACTCACGAACTCTTTCTGGCCTATCTGTGAGCAAAACGCCCGCTCTTCCAGATCCATTTCTTTGAATTTGGTAGAAGGAGATCCTGGGACGAAGCCGTCAAGAACCATTGCGCGCATTTTGAAAATTTCTCCAAGCAGAATAAACTCTTACATCGAAGCCAAAGGTAATATCACAAATGTAATCTGCAATGTCCCATACCCAGATTTCTTGTCTATCAGAAAAAAACAAAAGCTTTCAATTTCATTAAGGTTTAGCAAAGTTACGAAAGCTTTTGTCGTCACATGTGGACCACCCTGTATACTCGATATCAGGAAACTTACAAATTAGACCAATCATCGGCTGTGTAGCGGCTTTACCGACAGAATCTTGTGGTTCTTGAACAATGAGCCAGCTGCTATCAAAGATAAGGCACATTTGTCCACCTTACGTGATTTTATCAAACAACTCTAAAGCGCTAGGTTTGACATCCATAATGTGTCAAGGCTTACATTTTCTAAAAATGACAAATATTTCAAGAAAGCTTACTCCATTTTTCTTTTGCGCTATATCAGGAAATACTCTTCATTAATTTGGTCAGCCTCTCGGGATTACTGTAGGTATACTGTAAATGGGAGTAAGCCTGATTTTGTCTAATAAATGTTGGCTGGTTCGTGGAAAATCTTGGCCCCAAAAGGCAGACAGGTGAAAATTTATATGGTCGTCAACGTACTAAATCCAACAAACGTTGATGTAGACACATGGTTGAAGCACTTGTCAGCTTAACGTGAAAGCGCACAGACACATTCGTATTGTAGAAAATAAAGCCTAGTGATTTTGTTGACTTTGCTTGTCTTCTATTATAGTGAAAAGGATCTGGTGCATTCGATTGATTATTCCTTACATCTAATCTCTTAATCTAGGTCACTGTGCAACTTTCTCGCAAACTTTTTATGCACATTTTCTGGCTGCTTAGGCTGTACAGTAGCAAACTCTAGAAAATTAGGCAGGAAAACATTAAAAAAGAAAACGTTTTTCTGCCAACATAACTCGCATTTAGCAGTAAGTTAACTCCTTTTAATTTTAGGTCAAGTAATCTAGGTTTTTTCGAAGAATGTTAAGCATATGAGGCAGAGGGTGCCACCATGTTAGCAGAATAACTGCGCGCGATGCATCTGGATGTCGCAAACTAACTATAGTGGATAAGGATATGCTTGAAATAAGACGTTTTTGGACTGAAACTTAGTCTAAAAATTTGGCCATGCAATAAAAGTCTCAGCCAATTCACTTGGGAAATTTTTCCCTCGTTTGAACTTGTTTCAAGTTAAAACAGAATCGGCTTTTATAGCACATAAAGAGAGAAGAAAAAAAACGAGAAAAATGTCCCGTATTGGGTCTCCATAAGTTCGTAGCGTTCTCAGTTTTTTGGGAAGCGGTTGATTTGCCAAGATGTGTGTATCATTGGAAAGAACTAATCACGCTATTTGAATCATGTTAACTGATTTCGATGGGAAGCTAAAAATTTCTAAACACAAAATTTTGCACATTTTATCCATTATGGTGTTACTCATCAATTTAAGACAAGAAAGAGAAAACTGCTTTGAAAAATCAAGAGTTAAGCAGTGTGTCTCTGAATACGACTATTTGAGGGATAAGCAGGAGGTCTTGCACAAATTGTTGCACAAAAAAAACTATTAACCGTACCGTATGCAATGCGACTTCACCGTCTGAACGAGGCCAAATCATAGAAGAAGCCCTAAAACAGTTTCAATGGGGTTTCTGCATGACAAGACTTGACTCCATAAGGCATCGCGAAAAGCAGTTTTTTAAGATTTGCCTGAAAGGTATTCCAGTATCCAAATTACTTTCCAAATCTTGCCCCTATCAGATTATCCTCTATCAGATTATCCTTTGTTTTGCTCTCTCGTAAACCCTATGAACGGTGCATGTTTCGACTTCAGAGAGAATTTGATTCATGATTATGATTTACTTGCCTTTCATATCATTACAATATGCGGCACCCAAACAAACTGATCCATTCTTTTAACGTGAGTGATCTTACTCTTTGCCAATTGCAATTGCATTGCCAAGCTTTTTCTGAAATTCGCCTCCCCATCTCGTTGGGCCAGTATATCGAGTCGTATTCTCTTCAGGGCTTCTTGCACTTCATGTAGTTGGACTTCGTTTGGCAGGCGAGTTAACAAGTTGCTAGATGATTAAGATGATGTTGATTTTGACTTGCAAGCGCGAATTTCAAAACTAGGTTCATCGTGAAGCAAATAATCAAAAGGTTTGCAATACATGTTGATGAACCAGATTTGACGTATAATCAGAGAAGACTAGCAGAATCACAGTACATGGAGAGAAGAAAATATTGTTTGAGAAATTATTTCTGAGAAAACAGGCGACTGAAGGGAGAACGGAACTTACATGCACCATAAGGTTGCCTCGCTTAGTTAGCGAACATGAGAGGTTGTGAACTGGCAACAACGCTAATTTGCACTCAATTTGCACCGAAGATGAGTTGATTCTGCTCACGGTAACTCCGTCCTCATCCTGCGGCTTATAAAATCGGAATTTCTTTGTAATTTGAATTCAAAGTTCAGTAGTAAAATCAGTCCAATTAGGGCAAAAACCTGTATTTAGGGGTAATCTATCACGCTGATTTCGGGTTAATTGCTTTGCTTGAAACCTAGGATTTTTTCTTTTTTTTTTGAATTAAAACTTGTTTTCACAAATAAAAATTTCAAAAATTCTATGTAAGGGTTATTTAAGATGCTGCTTCCGAAAAAGCTGATGGTTTTGCTCGAAACCTCAAAATTTTTCTATTTCTATCTTGAATTTCAACTCTTATTCGAAAATTTCACTGCAAAATTGATAAACTTGGAGAAAAAATTTGCTATGTTTAAGAAAATAAAATGGATCCGAACTTGACTAAACTATCTTGCTCCAATAATACCTTAAATCGAGTTGTGAAATTTGCCAAATTTACAGAGAATTTTTGGAAATTAACTAAAATTTCGAAGGAAAATATATTTGCCCAGTTGTGGAAAATAAATGAAATTTCGAAGGAAAAAATATTTGCCCTAATTGGACTGATTTTACTACTGAAATTTGAATTCAAATTTTAAAGAAATTCCGGTTTCAGAGGCTGCAGGATGATGACGGAGTTACCATGAGCAGAATCGGCTCATCTTCGGCGAAAATTGAGTGCAAATTAGCGTTGCTGCC